TTTCTTGTCTTATTGCCATGGCTAAGACTTTCAATACAATATTGAACAAGAGTGGTGAAAATGGACATCTTTATCTTGTTCCTGATCTTAAGGAAAACGTTTTTAGCCTTTCCCCAAAGAGTATAATGGCCTTTATTATGTTGAGGTATGTTTGGAAGGGAGGTAATATTTTTGAGTTATAATCTAATACATAGGAAAGTCAATCCTTCTAAGAAATTCTCAAGGAAGTCAATATAAAAGCTGAAAAGTAGGTTAGGCCAGAACTTTATACTTACTAAAAGAAAGGAGTATTGATAAATATGGAAAACATGTTAGTCTTAAATTTGATGTTCAAATTACATGCCATTGATAGCATTTTCTCAATGGCTGTATGTCCAAACCAAGTTGAAACTAAAAATGAATTGGAAACAATTCTTATACTTGAAAATATTAGTCTAACTAGAGAGATAAGACAAAATATGAACAGCATATCTAGTTTTTGGTAAAATGACATCTATGCATTGAAAAATGCCAAACCATACCTTCCCAAATATAACTGTCACAAGTCAGCAATGTCAGTGTAGACCATATAAGTTTGTGTTATCCTTCATCTTTGATATCATCAAAGAGTTCCACTATATTTTTAACCATACTTCCCTAGATAGTCTTCTCTTATGTGTTTTAGAAACCTCAGTTTGCTAAGGAGCAGCAAACATAGGCCCAACAAAGAAAAAAAATGTTTAAAGTATGTTGAGATTTCTAGGTAGAGAATTATCTTGAATTAATGACTGACTAAGTTTAATAGATGGGAGAGAGGGAAAAAGAACTCTTTATTGAGATAGTTAATAAACAAGAAAAATGGTTTTATAGATTGCAAGATGGAGTATGAGATAGTTGAAGGATCTATTTATTGAGAGTGAAATGTTGATAAGACAATAAGATGAACAAATGCCAATAGGTATATGGGTCTTCTGAATATAAGGCTGAATGATAGAGATTTGGTAATTTTTATTTTGTAAGTGATAGATAAAGCCAGAGCATCATGTACTATTATCCAAAAAGAGGGTAAAAGTGAAAAGATGATCTAGAATAAAAACTGAGAACACCAATGGCAGTGTTGAAAATTGTTTAGATGGCATGTTCATGAGCAAGGAGAGAGGGGAGGATTACAGGGTTGTGGAAGGGTAATTGTTTGGGGATTTTATGTTGATAGATTCAAGGATAGAAAAAGGAAATATTAAAAGTGCAGAGAAAGATGGGATCATTGATGACCTATGACCCTGAGGAAGGTGAAATGAGACAGCCTCTGGGCTGGAGCACAGGTAGAGAAATGAGTTCTGGGAAAGGAAAGGTCATGGATATAGACTGCTTTTGCTATCACTTGTTGCTTGAAATTTCTATTCTAGCAATTCACGATGACATCTAATATATTTTGATAACAAACTTTGCCAGCTTAGCAGAAATTAAACTTGTCTATAATTGCAAAATTCATCTTAAATGTTTCTTAAAGTTTACACTCCAATATGTATATATTTTGTATATATTTTGCTAATTCACTCTTAAAATGTAAACTTACTTTTTCTCTCATTATTAAAAAAATGTATTTTGTATTGGTACTAAGCGTCTTACTAGAAAAGTGAAAGCTGGTTTAGCATGAGAAAAACACTTAGGCTAACTGCTTGCCTGTAATGAGTGTCCTGGTGGTTAAAACTTAAATTATATATAAAAAAATCTTTGCATTAAAAAGCTAACCAGATGTCTTGGTCAACATCTCCTATCTTAATAAACTGAGAAATAAACAAAGTGTGTTATGATATTCTATCACTTGATTTGCCTGAAAGTCCCTAGCAGAGTTCCTTGAAAAGTTATTTTTATGCAAATTTTATTTTTAAAAAGTCAAGGACAAAAGTGCTCTACAAATCTAGGGCCCAAAGTTTTTCTATCACTTTCATGTAAAAATACAAATGGTGGGAAAATATTATTTGACTTAATAAAGATTTGTCAATTGATAGAAGAGCATTCTTAAAATGGGAATGACTTATTCTCCCGATTCTGCATCTAGGAAGTCAAAACCTACTCAGAGAAACTTTCCAAATATTAATAGGAAAGAAGCTTTAATAAATTTTATAGTATGGAATTTACCAGTTAGTATGTTTTTTTGCTACAGTTATAAATCTGACTATCATTGTTAGGTGTAACTAAGATTCTTATCAATTCTGAGAATGAAGGGTAAATCTGGGTCAAACAACTTTTAATTTCAAAAGTTCAACTTCAAATTTTCTAGTCATTGGATTCATTCTCTCATTAACAGAATTCTAAACTCTTCTAGTATGGCTTTGAAAGAGTCCTTTGAGAGAGATTGTATGTTTTGCTTGGCAATCGCAACATTGGTTATTGGTTAAAAACATAATTTTTAATTTATAAATTCAATTTTATCAGAAGTTATATAGTGGTGCTGATCTTTAAGGAAAAAATCCACACTAATGCTACTTATAATTTATAGATAAGAGTGTCAATTTAAAAAACCAATTTACAAATCAGAGTGGCAATTTACTGTTTTGTCTATATAAGATAAAACTGGAAGGAAAACTGATATTTTTCCTATAGCAGATTGCAGAGGTTAAGTGTTGCCAGATCACATGAGTTTGAATACTAGTTCTACCAATTAATAAAATTGAGCAAGTCAATTAATCTCTGTGTGCCTCAGTTTCCTTCTTTGTTAGAAAGGGGATAATGATAGAATCTACCTCATGGAGTTGTGTGATTATTAAAAGAGTTAACATAGACAAAGCTCCTAGAATTGTATATGACAGATAAAACACTATACATATCAGGGATTATCACTGAGTTCATCCATGAGAACAAAGAATAGATAAAGCTCTTACTCAGTGAGAACAGACAAAGAAAATGGTGTTTTCAATGTATGTTATATAGAAGAGATCATTATACAGTGAATGAAACAGAAAATTAAATTCGAATCTTTAGACAAATTATATACTCTATTCAAAACCTAGTTTGCAAATGTGCAAGTAACAATAATAAGATCTAAGTAAAATGACACTCTGAACTAAGAATTATGCATGTAAAGAACATGGCACAGTGCCTGGCACATGGTAAAATAATGAAATGATTTGCCTTTCATCATTATAGATAATTCTGGATAACTAATTTTGATCTTTGAAAAAAACAGTACTAATCACTTCAAAATAGTGATGGAGACATAGTTTTGCTGTAATTTTTTTCTTTGAAACTATGCAACACATAATATCCTGTGATGAAAAAAGTACACTCCAAATTCTCTTAAGTTTAGTGATTTAAAATAAAACAAATTTAAAATAAAATAGATATGGGTTCAAATACTGACTCTGGCATAAGCTCTTCAATACTGGAAAAAATATTATGCTTTCTAAATTTCGATTTCTCATCTGTAAATTGGACAAATCCCTCTTTCTTCTTCCTTTCTTCTTCTTCCTTCTTCCCACTCTCCTTTCTTTCTTTCTCTTTGTCCTTCTCCTCTTCCTCCTTATTAGTTATAGTTTAGTACTTCTGGTGAGATTTGGGCAATTAAAATATAAGAAACACCCTTAAAGTCAAGATTTTTCTATCATCTCTGATTGTCTCTTTGGTTATTGTGTATCTTTGTGTCCATTCATATGTCTGTGCTTATTTAGCTGATTGATAGTATTTCTACAGAGTGCTATCTTTGTCGATTAACTTTTACTCAAGGGTCACATGTTCCTATCTTGTCCACTCATTCTGGAGCTATGCACAGTAGTCTATTTAGCAAACATAAATGAGAATGAGATTCTCAGGAATTTCCCAACAATATTCCAGTTTAGATAAAGGCAGAAATGCATGGAATACTTTCTGGTCTTTCCTCCTACATTTTAATTTGCATTTTAGGCCATTAAAATTAAAGCTTTTTGATAATATTTTTATATTTATAAAAGTACTATGTATTATTTTAAGATATGCAAAATATGAGGAAAATGAATATTATTATGTTTATTTACCATTTTAACATATTTCCCAGTTTTGATTAAAATAGTATATAAAATTTTAAATACTAAGTTTTCTACTTTCCAAAAACATTTTCTCACATATTCGAAAATATCATTTTCTTGATACTACATAAGCATTCCACTGTATAGGACATTTATTTCCAAATTTTGCTATTATAAGTAATGCTGCAATGAATATCTTTGCATAAAATTAGTCTTTATATTTCTCCATCCTTATGAAAATGTATTTAAAGTAGAATTGAGTTATCAGGTATTTAAAAAACCTGTTAAAATTGCATAGGAGAAAGAATACAAAGATTAAACACTGACCAAAGATATTTATCATGTTATAATGAAGCTCAAAGCTGTACACTAACAAGTTCCTTACAGAAAATAATATAATATAGGAGACTGCTTTTGGTAAAAAAATTTAATACCTCTCTAAAACATGAATGTCATCTGTTTCTTGGCTTCAGATAGATCACAGCTGTTATCTAAGGTAAAAATGAATATTTTTTGTCTGTAATAGTTAAGAGCTTTAAATAATAAAAGTAAGAGAACATAATGCATGTAATATGTTTTGTTTGCACATTTTTTGTACCCATATACATAACAAAACACAAACAATTAGAATTATGGGTCCCCAGGAGTATTCTAATAGCAACTTTAGGTGAAAGGAATAATTGCATGTTAAATATTTTTTATATTTACCTAAAAATGTAATCTGAAGATTTCTAAACTTATTATAAATTAAAGGCATTATTTTATGTATCTTTTTATGTTTGGAAATTCTTTTACTGTTTCTTTTGCCTATACTGAAGAAATCAAGGACAAAACATGAATAAATTCTTCTAATGGTGGAAGCATATCAGAATCTACCCGAGCTTGGTCTCTAAGAATTGGGGTTCAATGAAAATAAAATTGGTGCTTGATGAGATGCCATAATGTCAATATTTACTCACTTTGATCTACTTATTATTTACTTTGCTATTTCCATTTTTATCTTTTACGCATATTTAGTGTCCAGATCCATCATGCAAACAGGACTTGTTGGCCTACCTAGAACAAATTAAATTCTACTCTCACCAACTGAAAATCTGCAGTCAAGTTAAAGCTGAGATCCAGAGCCTGGGGGGAGAGCTCATCATGTCAGCTGTGAGTATTGCCCAGCATTTCTACCATCACACGTAAAAGATGCTGAAAACAAAGCAGCTACATTCCTTCTTACTCCACTGAATCATATATACCCATGTAGGTTACCAGATCAATTGGAGTATAAAATTTTGCATATAATTAAACTAATGCGAAATCTCATCAGATTTCTTAAGGAAATGTTAAATAGGTATAACATTTTAAATTCACTTCAGAGATTTTAGAATGAATCAGGTTTTGGAAACCATTTGGATAAGAAATAAATGTTAATTTACAGCATGGTTTTCAGACTTCATAAAGAGTACAGATGGAATTCTGAATTTAATCCTATAATTTTCATAAAATAAATGTAAATGTAATTGAAAATTAATGAAATAATTGCTTTATACTCATTTTCTCTCATTCATTTCTATAACATAGAAATATTGATCTTGAAAACTTTTATTTCCACATGTAATTGTAGAAGTATGATAGAACATTACAGATATAGGGGGAACTTTTTATAAATTTTTTGATGATCCTGAGTTTCAATCTGCTATAAAATGACCATGGTAGAAATAATGTCTAACTTTTCTACTCATCTTTTAATAACAGTAGATCATTTCTTTAGAGTAGGTAAGGTAATAAAATAATATTTGATATCTATATTGGATTCAGTTTTCAGTGACTTTGAGAAGGGCATAGACCAACATTATAAATTTAAGTTAAAGTGAAACATCACGAATGTTCTAAGAATTTATATTCATGAAGACAAATTTTTCAAAGTGATAACAGCATACTTATAAATTTGAAATGTCTAGGACCTCAATAGCTTGACATTCAAATTTCCCTCAAAGAAATAACATTCTTAAAAAGAATATATTTGCAGAAACAAGCAAAGAATTACAATCAATGGTAGAAGGCAGGGAACTAATCCTTATGAACTATCTATCTCTTAACTTTTATCTAATTAAATCTTCATGATAGCATGCCTCATAGATTGTTTATTTGCTTATTTTGTTTTTTTTTTTTAACAATTGAAAAGAATGAAATTCAGAAAGATTAAATAGCTTTCCCAAGATCATACTAGTAAATGTCAGAACTGGGATTTACCTTCAAACACCTATGCCTTCTGTATTCAGGTAAATAATCTTGAATCTATGATGAAACTGAAGAGCACCAATCAAAAGTGAATAATTTGGATATTATGTGTAGTTATTATAGAGATTAAGGTGATTAATTGTTTTTAATATTTATATTTTACAAAAAATAAAACAAAAAAGCATACAAATTAACACAACTTGTGCAATATTGGTGCCCTGTCACTTTTCAAAGGAAAATGTGTTTTAAATACAATCTATACCACACATAAACATTTTATGAATACATACATGTATACATGAATGCATATATACACATAGCATGTGTTCATTTATACGCACACTGAAAAATACTGTATCTTTATTCTCTTTTGTTAGACATTTAGTCTTTATTTTCTCATTTAACATTATACTGCTTTAAGTGTGTAAAAAACTATTTGTGGACCCACGTCTGTCTGCTATTTACTTTTCTTAATTTTACACACCTTCATTCACAAGGTTTTAATTTATATGAATTTTATTTTCTAATTATATGCTACTTCTTCATGTTGTCTGAAGCTAAGCTTTCAAAATAATTGATAGTTCAGCCTATACATTACTGCTGAAATACATTATTGTTAATTGTCCCTCCAAAATATCATTTTCTCCAGATGTATAAATTGAGTTTGTATTTCTTCCTATTTGGTATGTTGATTCAAATTCATGAACTTTACATATTTTATAGATAGATTACGCATGAGCCATTTGGAATTCATGATTTACAATTTAAAAACTGAGTCATTGTATAAAGTGAGAAATAACTCTTTGTCATCATTTTACCCACAATTTCTCACTAGAAAGAAATAAATCTGAAAAAAGGAAGCATACCCCCTTTTACATGACTTATAGCCATCTGCTTGCAGGTAGATTCTGGAAAGCTTTTTATTTTTATTATTTCTTTATTTAATTTGTTTATTTTTAATTACATTTGACATTCACTATTATTTTATATTAGTTTTGAGTATACAGCATAGTGGTTAGACATTTATATAATTTATGAAATGATCCCACCAATAAGTATAGAATGGTACAATTTTCATAAAATAAATGCTAATGTAATTGAAAATTAATGAAATAATTGCTTTATACTCATTTTTCTCTCATTCATTTCATAGAAATACAGATCTTGAAATCTGTATGGAATTGTACTGAATCTTAGTTTGCTTTGGGTAGTAGAGACATTTTGAAGACATTAGTTCTTTCTATCCATATGCATGGTTTATGCTTCCATTTATTTTTATCTTCTTCAATTTCTTTCTTCGATATTTTATAATTTCCTGAGTATGGATTTTTACCTCCCTGTTTAAATTTATTCTTAGATGTTTTTTTATACAATTGTAAATGGGATTATTGTCTTAATTTCCCTTTCTGATAGTTCATTATTGATATATAAAAATGCAACTGATATCTGAATTTCAATTTTGTATTCTGCTACTTTACTGAATTTATTTATGTTTTATTAGTTTTTTGGTGGAACCTTTAGGGTTCTATTTAGTATCATGTTATCTGCAAATAACGACCGTTCTACCTTTTCCTTTTCAATTTGGATGCCTTTTATTTCTTTTTCTTTTCTGATTGCTTTGGCTAGGACTTCTGATACTATATTGAATAAAAGTAGTGAAAGTAGACATCTTCATTTCATTCCTAATTGTAAGGAAAACACTTTTAGTTTTCCACCTTTGAGCATGATGTTAGTTGTGCATTTATTATATATGACTTTTATTATATTGAAGATTGTTTCCTCTATTCATAACTTGCTGAGGATTTTTATTATAAATGGATGCTGGGTTTTATGAAACACTTTTTCTCCATCTTTTGCTATGATCATGTGATTTTTATTTTTTATTTTGTTTATGTGGCATATTATGTTCATTAATTTGCAGATATTGAACCAGCTTTGCATCCCAGGAATAAATCCCAATTGATCATGGTATATGATTTTTTTCAATATATTGCTGAATTCGGTTTGCTAATATTTTGTTGAAGGTTTTTACATTTATGTTTATCAGGGATATTGGCCTATAATTACTTTTTTTGTAATGTCTTAATCAGGGTAATGCTGACTTCATCAAATGAGCTTGGGAGTCTTCCCTTCTCTTGACATTTTAAGAAAAGTTTGAAAAGGATGGGTGTTAATTCTTTTTTGAATATTTGGTAAAATTCACCTGTGAAGCCGTTTGGTCTAGGACTTTTGTTTTTGGAAGATTTTGATTACTGATTTAATTTTAATAATAATAACCAGTTTTCTCAGATTATCTGTTTCTGCTTGATTCAGTCTTGGAAGATTATATGTTTCTAGGAATTTATCCATTATTTCCAGATTGTCCACTTAGTTGGAATATAATTATTTACAGTATTTTCTTATAATCCTTTGTATTTCTGTGGTATCAGTTGTCATGTCTCCCCTTTCATTTCTGATTCTATTTATTTGGGTCATTTCTCTTTTTTCCTTGATAAATCTGGTTAAAGGTTTATCAATTTTGTTTATCTTGTCAAAGAAACAGCTTTTGGTTTTATTAATCATTTGTATTTTTTTTTTAAGACTCTATTTAATTCCACTCTCATATTTATTATTTCCTTTTTATTCACTTTGGGTTCTCTTTGCTCTTCTTTTCCTCTTCCTTTTGGTATAAGATTATACTGTTTGAGATTTTTCTTGTTTCTTGAGGTTTGCCTATGTTGCTATGAATTTCATTCTTAGGACTGCTTTCACTGTGTCCCATAGATTTTGGGTCATTGTGTTTTCATTTCCAATTGTCTAAAGGTATCTTTTGATATCTTCCTTGATATAATTGTTAATCCATTGTTTAGTAGCATATTATTTAGCATACATGTATTTGTGTGTTTTTCAAGTTTTTTTCTTGTAATTGATTCCTAGTTTCATACCATTGTAGTTGCAAAAGATACTTGATATGATTTCCATCTTCTTAAATTTTCTGAAACTTTTTTTGTGGTCTGTCATGTGATTTGTCATGAAAAATGTTCCATGTACACTTAAAAAGAATGTATATTTTACTGCTTTGTGGTGAATTGTCTAAAAACGCCAATTAAATCTATCTTGTCTAATGTGTCTTTTAAGGCTATTTTTTTTGTTGAATTTCTGTCTGGAAGATCTATCCATTGATGTCAATGGGGTGTTAAAGTCCCCTGCTATGACTTTATTACTGTCGATCTCTCTCTTTATGTCTGTCAATATTTGTTTTATATATTTAGGTGCTCCTGTGTTGGTGCATCAATGTTTACAAGGGTTATATATTCTTTTTGGATTGATCTTTTAATTATAATGTAATGTCTTTCTATGTGTCATGTTGTAGCCTTTCTTTCAGAGCCTATATTGTCTGATATAAGTATTGCTACTCCAGCTTTTTAAAAAAATTAATTGGCATGAAATATCTTTTTCCATCCCTTTACTTTTAGTCTGTGTGTGTCTTTTGATCTTAAGTGGGTTTCTTGTAGATAGCATATGTATGGGTCTTGCTTTCTTATTCTTATGTCTTTTGATTGAGCATTTAATCATTTACATTTAAAGTGATTATTGATAGGTATGTAGTTATTGCCATTTTATTTTTCATATTTATGTTCCCTTTTTCCTTCCCTTCTGCTTAAATAATTCTCTTTAAATTTCTTACAATACCGGTTTGGCAGTCATGAACTCCTTTAGCTTTTTCTTGTCTGGAATGGAAAGCTTTTAAAATACATTTCACTTGCTTACACCAAAGCACACTTGCTTTAATCTCTCGGTGACCCTCAATTCTCCTCCTCCTCCTCCTCCTCCTCCTCCTCCTCCCCTCCTCTTCTTCTTCTTCTTCTTCTTCTTCTTCTTCTTCTTCTTCTTCTTCTTCTTCTTCTTCAAGAAGAAGAAGAAGAAGAAGTTTTTATCTAAGA